CTGACTTTTCTTTAAATGCTAAATAGTGATGAACTACTCCTTAACTTCCAGGAATTCTCAAGGTCTGATACCCAAGAACCATAGGCTCCCTTTCACAACCATAAATAATGCTACCAAAATTTGTTTCTTAGTTTTTCCTRGGCTTATTTCAAAAGGGTATTTTTAAAAAGGAAACATTAGATCCAAGGCTCTGTCCATGCACATGTGTTGCTAAAGTTTACATTTTTGATGTCCCCCAAAAGTCTGTGTGTTGAAGGTCTGGTCCCAGCTTATGGCACTATTGAAAAATGTGACCTTTATAAAGTAAGGCCTAGTGGGAGGAAGTTAGGGYCAGAGGGTATGCCCCTGAAGGGGATATTGAAACCCTAGGCCTTCACTTTCCATTTCTTTATTTCCTTCTTCCCTTCCACCATTGGGTGAACAGGCCTCTTCTACCATGCACTCCCACCATGCTGTACTATGCTACCACAGGCCCAAAGCAACAGATCCAAGCAATCATGGACTGAACTCTTTAACACTCTATGCCAAAATAAATTTTTCCTACTTTCAAAGTGAATATCTCAGGTATCTTACCACAGATACAAAAAGCTGACTAACACATGTGTTCATCTCTCTTTCCCTCACATATCCATGACCAAAAAAAAAAAAAAAAAAAGATCAAATTTCTTACTTTTTCAACTGAAGACCCAGTCCAAACCCTTCCTTATTCGATGGCTGGAAAACCTCAATTGATGGTTCTGCAAAGAGAAGAGAAAGTTCCTAGTGTATACATATCTCTATCCTCCTTGGAGTTTAAAGCCATAGTTCAGTGGAATAGTTTCCTCACAGTCTAAAAACAGCAGCTACTGCATATTCTAAATAATAATGTGGAAGAGAAAAACTTCTGAGGTAGATAGATTGTGGAAGCTCTCTAATCAATTTCAAATATTCTCAGTAGGAAATTGAAGGAAAGGGAAGAATAAATGATATCTTAGAACTAGAAAACAATTTCATTAACCAAGAAGGCCTTTAAGGGATAGCTATCAAGAAGACATCAATGACACGAAACTGAAAATTCCCTATCAATAGCTGTAGATTGAGCCCAAAGGCCTTACTCCTAGTTTTTTTCTACTTYAGTTAACTTAGAACTTTAGATTAGACCACACTCAGAGTACCCGCTTGCCCAAATCACTGCTTTTACCTGGTCCATCAAGGTACTGGGAGAGAGAAAATCTCAGCCTTAACACAATAGGTTCTGTCCGGAGGACCTTCCAGGCTGTAGATACTTCCTCCTAAAAGAATAAGGGAAAATTTCCAGTTTACAATTGGAATGGACTTGAAGTTTCCCCTATGCAACACATACATGCACATGACAGTACACACCACTATCTGCTGATGGTCTAGGAAAGACAGAGATGAAGAACCTGTGCTCCAAATACAGCACTCAGGAACAAGACTCCTGGCCTACATGACAAAATCCACAAGTCCAGATAGACATGTTGTTGGCAGGTACTAGCACCACTTACATCGAGGAAGCTGATGTTGATGTGGAGATCAATGTCCACGTCATCGATAGTTCCATATTCTCTACAGAGATACAACAGGTGAGTCTCATTAAGGGAGAAAGAAGGGAACAGAAACTGAGACAGAAGGAGAACTGAACTGGGGACAGGGGAGAGGAAAGGCTAGAAGACAGTCTGTATATAGGGTCTTAGCTGGATGATCTCAAGCCACTTATATGATCAGGGCTTTCTCTAGGACAGAAACTCTTCTTACATCAAAAGTAAAATTAATGACTTTCAGGAATTTAGGATAAAAAGAAATTTATTTACTTATTATTATTATTGTTGTTGTTGTTTTGGCCATACTGAAGATTAAACCCACGAGCACCTAGCCCTTTTTATTTTTATGGTATTATTATTTTTGAAACACTGTCTCACTAAGCAACTAAGGCTGACCTTGAACTTGCATTCCTCCTGCTTTAGCCTTCCCAGTAGCTGGGATTGTAGGYGCCCCTGGCTAAGAGGGAACTTCTAAGAAAAGTAGTTAGTAAAACTACCAATACCTCCTGTTAGCCAAGCATCAGTATTTTGGGCAAATTTTATCATTAAGCTCACCATTTATCCCCTTTTATCACAACATAAAAAGATTTAGCCTTTTAACAACTCAGAAATAAGTGACTTGCTCCCCTGCCATCCTGAAGTAGAGTCTTACCTGATGGATACAGAGTTCTCACTGTAGATCTCCTTCACAGCTTCAATGTCTGCATCAAGCTGTGGGTGTCGATACAGGTCAGCTGCACAGCTCCCCTGAACTCCATAGAGAAATTCCTCTGATTCATTATCTCCTTCTGAATCATCATCATTCCAGAACTGGCCTTTGATGTCCATTGGGTCAGTAGGTCACACACACTCCCAGGTCAGTGCTAGGCAGCACCCCTCCATACCACCAACTGAACCCAGGCCAACGAGATGGGCATTTAGGAGGCCACAAAGGGAGATAAGGGAGGGAGGTGATGTTAGAAGCAACTGGAGATCTGCTGGGGATATCAGACTCTGCTACTGTGATAACAGGTCACTGTTCTGTGGAAAGCATATAACAACTAGTTACATCACCACTTAATAGCTAGATGGCTTATACACAGGTACACTTTTATTACATGTAAAGAGATATACTTACATGTATACACATTCACTTTTGTATGTCCTTCTTTAAAGGTAATGAACAATGCCAGGTACAGTGGTGCAGGCCTGTGATCCCAGCGACTTGAGAGGCTGAAGCAGAAGGATCACAAGTTTGAAGCCAGTCTCAGCAATGTGATGAGCACTAAGCAACTTAGTGAGACCTACATCAAAATAAAAATAAAAAGGGCTGGGGATGCCAGGCACAGTGGTGCATGCCTTTAATCCCAGCAGCTAGGGAAGCTGAGGAAGGAAGATTCCAAGTTCAAAGCCAACCTCAACAACCCTAAGCAACTTAGGGAGACTCTGTCTCAAAAAAAAAAAAAAAAAAAAAAAACCTTTAAAAAGGGCTAGGGATGTGGTTCAGTGGTTAAGTGCTCCTGGGTTCAATCCCTGGAACCAAAAATAAAATGAAATAAAGATAATGAACCATGAAAACACTATACAAACATAAGGTACTGCCATTAAATTCAAACGGTAGAGCTGGGATTGGAACAAGGATCTATTCTACTTCATAATGCTAYAATAACCTCAAAGCCAAATGTGATGATGGCAGATCAAATGTTTATGCTATCCTGTCTAACCAGTTCATTTTTAAATATTCTTCACCATACCAATCCTCACCACAATTAAGAACCAGAATCACTCTTTTTCTCCGTCATTTCTCCATAGTGAGCCATTATGTTTTTTAAAACATCAATATTACTATAAGCCTTTATGCGACAATCATATYTAACAAAGTCCTCAACAATACTGAACGTCCTCAAATAAACATGGTCTGAATTGTTATGGCCAAAATAATGTCCTGGGATCATCTTGGAACCTAGTCCCCAAATAAAAAATCCATAATGATCCCAACAAATGCATTAAAAAAAAAAAAACCACTAACCCCTAACCTTTTCTCCTGCTTGTTTCTACTCCTAAAGACCTCTAACTGTATACCAAGCAACTTTTTGCCCCACTAAAGACTCCACATGCAGCAGGGAAAAACAAAACAAAACATCTGTTAAACTATGAAGGGTTAAATGGTAGATGGCAAAGCTACCCTAACAACTGCCTAAAAAACTTCTGTTGTCTCTGCTGTTCCCTTTCAATGCACATATCCACATTCTGCTCAAAGGTCACCTTGACTATCCTATATAAAATAGCAACAATTCAACATTTACTAGCACTATTTCTCTTCTCCCAAAATACTTACTACAGTCTAGCATACATTTATCTCCCATCAGAATGTAAGTTCTATGGCATAGATTTTTTTTTTTTTTTTGAGAGAGAGAGAGAGAGAGAATTTTAATATTTATTTTTTAGTTTTCTGCGGACACAACATCTTTGTTTGTATGTGGTGCTGAGGATCGAACCCGGGCCGCCCGCATGCCAGGCGAGTGCGCTACCGCATGAGCCACATCCCCAGCCCCCTATGGCATAGATTTTAACTGTTTTCACTATGCTAATAGTTCCTTAACATATTAACCGAATAATGAGCTCTCTGCTCTATAACTAAGTCAAACAAGACATTCATACAATAACCTAAACCACCTCCATGCATAGGCATAAATCATTAAAAAAAAAAAA